GCCGTAGCTGCATCCTCCATCAGATTATACAACGGCACGCAACCGACTCCACTTAACCACGAGTCCATATATCCTGAAAATAGTCCATTCTCCACACCCATTCACTGTAATAAACCAGACCCTCTCAAAAATCACACATTACAAACACTTCACCGAAAATTTGGTGTCACAAGCGATTTGACAGTCAATAAACTGTCACTGTTTCATTCGTAACAGATAACTCTTAACAACTATAGAATGACGAACGATGTTGTTATGAAGCTGAATCACCATCTGAATGCTCAATGCGAACTCACCGAGTGTAACGGCGATATTATGACGGAAACTACGTTCAGTGCGTGTTCCTTCGGGTATTGCTGTCAGATCTTCGCTGGTCACCGAGACCGAATTCAGTAATTTATCGATTTGATTCTGCTGTGGCATCGTTGTATCGAACACATCCCGTGCAACTTTCACTAAATCTGGATGTGCCACCCATGTGCCGTCGTGTCCTTCAATTGATGAACTTTCAATGACGATCCAAAAAAAATTTCAAATTGGAGCCACTTTGCTCGAACAAAAATTTCTATGAAAATGATTCATTGTGTTGGATTTTACACATTAATCACGCGAAATTCCACTTCAAAAGATTCACGCGCACATATTTCAATTAGATAGCACTACTGAACACTTTGGATTTCCGAAGAATGTTGAAGCAAACTCGAATTCAAGACCTGAATCGTGACTTGGTGAACATGATTAACGTCCGATTGATCCTGAAAAAAAGAAGAAGTTTTATTACTAACCATCAGTTGCCTCTCGTTCTTTGTCTTGTTTGACGAAAGCGAGTGCCTTACGATTCGCTATCTGATCGTTTTTGATCGGGATTTGTGCAGCCATTCCACCCATTGCCGAGATTTTTCGAGCGTGGCAAGCCTTTATGCTGGCCAGCGCATAAGCACGTAAAAATGGTGCCGTCATTGCTGAATTTTAGATTGATTATGATTAGAATAAAGAGATAAAATATCAGTTCTTACAAC